CTCGAGCTCGACTCGACTTGAAAACTTAAAATTGGAGTTCGACTCGGGTTGAAAGCTCAGAAACCTAAAATTTTCAAGCTTGATTAGAACTCGAAACCATGAATTGAAGCTCGAAAAAACTTGAAATAAAAAAATCTTAAACTTAACTCAGTTGAAGCTCAAACTTTATCTCGAACATGAACCTTAGGTATACGAAAACTTTATACTATATATATATTTTTAAAAATCTATACGTAAATGTTAATATTATTAATAATTTTTTAAAAAAAATTAATATATTTTTTCTTCAAGTTGCTATCTAACTTTTCAAATCAAGTATACTCGATTCGAGTTCGAGTTGGGGTCAAGTTTATTCAAGTTGAGTATTTATCGAACTTTTATCGAGTCGAGCTCAAAATAACTCATTATCTGTCTCTTCTCATTTACAACCCTATATAAATCTATATCGATAGCGAGTAAGACACCCAAATAATTTTTAAGGGTAAACTACATATTTAGTAACACAACTTTAGGCATAGTTTTTTTTTAAAAATAATAAATATTAAAATAAAAAAATAATTTAGATACTATAAACCTATAATTTACCTAATAATTTAATACGAAAAAATTTCAAACTTAATAAAATATTTTTCATTTATTGATCTCTGCCTCTGTTGACCCTCTTGGCACCTTCCTTCCCTCCACCATATATAAAGACTTGAATTCCTCTCAATCTCTCATCAGTTTTAGAAAATTGAAGGAAATCCCATCCTGCAGTATACAAACTCAGCTGCAGAAACATTTTGTTTTTCTTTTTCCGAAATTGAAACTTCATTTTTTATCTTTTGATAACTGTGAATACAAATGGATAAGTTAACGAAACTCATTTCAATGGCTCCTCTGTTTCTTCTACTTTGCCTTCCTTTTGCATTTGCTGATCATGACTACGGCCATGCTTTGAGTAAGAGTATTCTCTTCTTTGAAGCTCAGAGATCTGGTCACCTCCCTCATAACCAGAGAATCACATGGAGAGCTAACTCTGGCTTGAATGACGGCAAGGCCAGTGGGGTAAGCTAAAGCTCTCCAGTCTCCACTCCCATTCTCCTAAATGTTGCACTTCTTTCTCAGTCAATTCTACATTTTTACCCCCCCCCCCCCCCCCCCCGATTTGTTGGAATTGTTTGTGAACGTTTTTACAGGTCGATTTGGTAGGAGGATACTATGATGCAGGCGACAATGTGAAGTTCGGGCTGCCCATGGCATTCACCATAACAATGATGTCCTGGAGCATAATAGAGTACGGTAAACAAATGGCTGCCAATGGTGAGCTCAAACATGCCATGGAAGCCGTCAAGTGGGGCACCGACTACTTCATCAAAGCTCATCCCCATCCCTTTGTCCTTTACGGAGAGGTATTCTATTCTCCATCAACACTTGCTCCTATGATTTTGTTTCAACCTAGAATTAACAACTTAAATAAAGATCCATTTTCAATGTGGTTGCTAAATTTTGGTGTGGGTCTAGGTTGGAGATGGTAACAGTGACCATTACTGCTGGCAAAAACCAGAGGACATGACCACCGACCGACGTGTTTACAAGATCGACCCAAGTAAACCCGGGTCGGATCTCGCCGGTGAAACGGCAGCAGCCATGGCCGCCGCCTCAATCGTCTTCCGCCGCTTCAACCCTGCATATTCCAGGGAGCTCCTTCGCCATGCCCACCAGGTATTTATATAAATCTACAGAGTATCTTTCCTAAACTCACTTTGGCTCACAGTTCCCAAAATTTCCGGTGAAAAGCTTTAGACCCATAGTAAATAGGTAGTTAAAGACAGTTGCTCGCTTTTCCTGAAAACGGTGTCGTCTGCTTCGATTTGAAATTGAAAATTACATGGTGCGGGTAAACTTTTTCGGCGCAAAATTTGGATTATGGGATGGGAGTAGGGATGGGCATAGGTCGGGTTGGGTCGGGTTTTCCACTCGATCTGACTCGAGAAGAAGTGGATCTCCACCCATGACCTGATCTGATTCGATGAAATTAATTTTTCACCCGACCTGATCCGATAGATAGTTTAAAAAATCCGATCTGAAATAATAAAAAAAATTATTTTTATTCAATAAAAACAATGATTAAATTGAAAAAATAATATATGGATTGGTATTATTGTAATTATTTCTAAATATATAGCGTAAAATTATATATTTTTTCCGGGTCGGGTCAGATTTTTTTCACCCTAAACCCGAACCCGACTCGAACACCACATAAAAAAATCTGACTTGAACCCGAATTTTTTTTAAAAAAAATCCGACCCGATCGAATCAGATCGGAATCCGTCGAGTTCGGATTAGATGCCCATCCCTATATGGGAGCACTCCGTTTTTCCCAGTCCATTAATTGCCTTTTATGGCCGTACAGATCTATCGTAGTAGCAGATCTTAACCGTCCATTGTACAGCTATTCGTTTGCTTTTTCTCACGTGCCAACACCGTCGGTGATCTTATTCTTAATAAGACCCATATTCCTGAATTACCCTTGCATCTTTCCTCATATTACAGAAATTTTGTAACAGCAGATTTCAAGAATTTTTTATTTAACATTTGGATTATTCTTGTTCTGTTGTCAGTTGTTCGAATTTGCTGATAAATACAGAGGCAAATATGACAGCAGCATCACTGTCGCTCGTAAATACTACCGATCCGTCAGTGGATACAATGTAAGTTAATCTATGGCTTTGCTTAGTACGAAGGATAGTAAGGGAAAATGATGAAAAAATGTTGACTTTCAACCCAGAGATTGCTTGAATTGCTCCTTATAAATTGGTTTTGAATTTGGAAATTTGTGAAGGACGAGTTGTTGTGGGCCGCTGCATGGCTGTACCATGCTAGTAACAATAAATACTACTTGAACTATCTTGGGAGAAATGGTGATTCGATGGGTGGAACCGGTGGGCCATGAGTGAGTTCGGTTGGGACGTCAAGTATGCTGGCGTTCAGACCCTGTTGCCAAGGTATTATTTAACTCCCACTTCAAGTTCACCCATTGTTGTACGACAATTGGTTATGTAGTTATGTCTCATCAAGTAATCATGGTTTAGGTGTTTATGCTTCGAAACATTTTGGTATGTTTTGTTTCACATGCAGCTCTTAATGCAAGGTAAAGCTGTTCACAATGCACCGGTTTTTGAAAGATACCGTCGGAAGGCGGAGTACTTCATGTGTTCATTGATCGGAAAGGGTAGCCGGAACATTCAGAGGACTCCAGGTGGTTTGATTTTCCGACAGAGATGGAACAACATGCAGTTTGTGACCAGTGCTTCGTTCTTGGCCACTGTCTGCTCTGACTATCTTACTTCCTCTAGAGGAAGCTTGAAGTGTGCTTCTGGCAATGTTGCACCATCTCAGCTTCTTTCTTTCGCAAAATCTCAGGTGATTATCGATCTCTTTGCCGAATTAAATCTTTACATATTTTTTATGAATGGTGACCAAATTCAGCCTTTTAACAAGTTCTTTGATGTTTTGCAATGTTGAATTCTCAGGTGGATTACCTTCTTGGAGACAATCCAAGAGCTACAAGTTATATGGTTGGTTATGGAAACAATTACCCTCGTCAAGTTCATCACCGAGGTTCATCGATTGTTTCAATCAAGGTCAACCCTAAATTTGTTGCCTGTCGACAAGGTTATGCCACTTGGTATACGAGGAAAGCAAGTGATCCTAACGTCCTCACTGGTGCTGTAGTTGGGGGGCCTGATGCCTATGATAACTTCGCAGATGAAAGAAACAATTATGAACAAACAGAGCCTGCTACCTATAACAATGCTCCTCTCCTTGGCATTCTGGCTAGACTAGCTGGCGGTCATGTCAGATATAACCAACTCCTTCGTGGTATATTAACCCAGCATTCCCATTAAAATTTATGGTTTCAACCTTTTTCAAGTTCTCGCATATTGATCAATCATGAAGATCATGACCTTGGCTTTCCCTGCAGTGGCTGTCCCAGCACCTAATCCAGTCATTGCCAAACCGAAACCTGCACTGAAGCCCGAATTGACTCCAACTTCTGGTATGTTGTTGTTTCTGTTTGAAATTATTTACATTGGTTACAGAATGTCTGATTCTATGTCTCATTATGATAGGCCATTAAATGACAAGATACTACTTTGGGTATTTGTTTTGCAGCCTCATCTTCTAGTCCAATTACCATAAAGCAGAAGATGACAACTTCCTGGAATGACAAGGGGAAACATACTACAGATATCCCACAGTAGTGACCAACAAGTCTTACAAGACACTAAAGGATCTCAAGCTTTCTATATCAAAGCTTTATGGTCCTATATGGGGTCTCACTAAGTCTGGCACTTCTTACAGTTTCCCAAAATGGCTCAACTCTTTACCTGCCAGAGAGAGTCTCGAGTTCGTATACATCCATTCTGCTTCTCCTGCTGATGTCTCAGTTTCAAGCTACAAGTTAGCTTAAGAATGGAAGACATTGCAAGGAAAGAAGAGTAAAGTTCCTCATGGTTTATGTGGTTGTGGCGTCAGAGCTGTGCAGCTATACAAAAATGCAGTCAGGGATTTGGTATTTAATTAGGGTTGCTGGCTGATACTAGGTGAAATAACATGGAAGATTAGAGGAGAAATAGATAGGGCTGAGAAACAGTCAAATGAGTGAAAATTGAGAAGTAAACAAAGGACTTCTCAATAAGACTGCAAGGAATCTGTTTTTATTTCTACTTACAGTTACAAAGCAGTAGCAGATGTATTTTTCTTTCTTCTTCTTTTGGTGTTGTAATGCTGCAAGCTTTGCAGCATTTTATAGTTTCCATATAAATAAAGTTCACAGAACAATGGCCGCAGGGGAAATAAATATTTATTATTATAATTAATAAACAGTTGATATTTTCAAAAGAATCTAATAGCTTAATATGATTTGAATGAAATAAATCTTACTATGTTAACATGGAGCAACAGTTTCACCTAATCGATGACATCTTGAAAGAGAAGAAAGTGTATGTATTTTGTCAAGCATTTGGCTTGTTTGCAGTCTTGTACATGTTGTCAACCACATTCTGCATCCAAACGGCGTTGATCATTTGGCCGCGCAAGCCAAATATGACAAAAGGAAAACAGCTACGTACCTGATAATACTTGAGCAATTGAGGCCTTTTCTTCTTATACGTGGGGGTGAGAAGGTCGCGTTCCATGTCGAATGGCACAGGGTCAAGATGGACAGCTTTTACAAATTCAAAACCTTTCAGCTGAAACAAAAAAGGAATCGATTTAGTAGGGGAAATGTGTTTGCTTCAATAGGGGTGAAACTAAACCTGTCGATTAAGAGAATCGAGTTGAGTTTCGACGAACGAGAAACCTTTTTCTCTTTGGCAATCTCTGTGAGCTCCTCAAATATGTACTGTCTGGCCTTGGGATTTTGACAGATGGAATCAAAGTCACCACTTACAGCATTCTCAGCAGCCCAGGTTTCAAGTGCTCGCTTATTGGGGTTAACGACAGCAACCAGGAAGGACTCAAAGCTGTTCCCATAAATCCAGATCTGAAATCGATTAAAGACAAAAAAAAAACTACCAGGTTAAAACACTTAAAATGGCCAAACAGAAACGTACAGTACAAGCAAAAAAATGATAAGTACTGCAAAAAGAAGATTACCGAATCAGTAACAGACGAGAGACCATAAATATTCTCCAGATTCTCAACTGCAACATATTCCCCTTGTGAAAGTTTAAAAATGTTCTTCTTTCTATCGATAATTTTCATACTTCCATTTGGTTGCCACTCACCAATATCCCCTAATGCCCAGAAATGATGAAAGGACGTCAACATGGAGAAAACTTAATAGAACCTTAATTTAAGAAGAGGAAAGAAATTAGCAGACCTGTGTGGAACCATCCATCAATCAATACTTCATTAGTAAGGTCTTCACGTTTGTAGTACCCTGAAAATAGTGTGTCTCCCCTGATACAAATTTCCCCACGTGGTGTGCTTGCAAGAGCATCGTATCCCATTTCAGGAACAGATTCTAGGTGTATATCTACGTTCGGTACTGGAGGACCTACAGTACCGAGCATCGACAATTCATTAGGTAATGAGACAAAAGTCCCCGCACAAGTCTCCGTTAGACCTACATTCGGATCCGAATAAAACTGATCAATGTTCATGCTACAGACAGTGTGCACAATCAATGAAGAACAATGAATCACTTATACAAAAGGCTAATTTCAAAAGATAGTATACCATATCCTTGCAGAACATGACAACATGCAACCACTCGCAGGAACTCTTCCACATGAGAAGAAAGAGGTGCTGCCCCGGATAGAATAAGCCGCACATTCCCTCCCAATCCTTTCTTTACCTGAGAAATTATAAACGCGAATGAGACTCAAATAGACGAAAGATTCTAGTCAAGAGGCAAGGAGCCTTGTGTGGATTGTATAAAAATGAAGACTTCAATCACCTTGTTGAATACAACTTTGTCACAAATTGAAGATGCATCTTCATGTTTACTGCCCTTCTTCATCTTACCAAATTTGCTGTAGGAGTAATCATAGATGTTAGAACCAAATACCAACACAGAAAAAAATTGTAAATCAACTGCCACAGACAGAATTTGGTGAAACCAAAGCCAAAAAACATTTATTCTAATAAGGTAACAAAGCAAAAAACACAGTGACAAGAAATGCAGGGACAAATGCAAATGAATATGAAGTTTAAATCCCAAAAGGATTGAGATAATTAATTTCACCTCTTTTTTACTCATTATATTTTACTAGCAGTCGGCGGACAAAATAAACTGCTTTACACAAGCAAACTTAAAAATGAATGCAACTCACTATGAGTATGCCACATTAAACAACTTCCTTCTCATTAAGCTTCCCCCAGAAATCTTCTGTACTAAACCTGAATGGATTCTGTCTAACACACGAGGAACGGCACAGAAGATAGTTGGCTTTAGCTCCCCAATATCTTCAACCAATAGTTTCACATCCTGAAGACGCAACAAATAAGAAACTGATAGTTTCAACAAGCTCTAATATCTTGAAACAATTTCAAATAATCCTGCTCACCCCACGCCAGAATCCTATTGCGGCACCTCGAGAAATAAAAAACTCCTCAATCACCCGGTCAAAGATATGTGCAAGAGGAAGATAAGAAAGATATACATCCTTCTCAGTCAACTGTAAGATTTCTCAAGAAACAAAATATTGAGAGAGGGAAAAGCAAGAAAGAAAAAAACAAGTCAAAATTTTGATTCGGGAAAAAAGAAAGACAGGTAAAACGAAATGACCACTGAAACTGTTTGTCTTGGAATAAAAAAGTTCAGTCAAAAGATCACCTCTTCATTTACGGTCTCTAGCAGGAGTTTCACCCCTGCTATAAGAGTAACAATACTGCAATTTGAAATCAAAACTCCCTTGGGATCACCAGTGGTTCCACTTGTATACATTATTGTGCAAATATCACTTTGCGTCTTCTCTGGTAGATCAAAATTTTTATTTTCTCCCTGCAAGAATCATACATCAGAACTTAAGCCAGAATTGGTGGTCACCTACTTGTTAAAATGAAGCGATTTTAACTAATGGTTAATAAGATAATTAAACAACTAGCAAATAAGCATGACATATGGTTATCAGATGATATTAAACCTGGAAATTTTTATATTTGTGTCATGTTCGTGTAATTTATAAATTTTGACAAGTTAATAATTTGTATTATATAAATTTTGATGTTTGTATATTTTCTTATCGTGTTGATGTTTTAGTGATTATCTTCATGTTGTGTCCAGCATAGTATTGGAAAATTGCTCGAGCATCTTCAATCAGAAAGAATTGAAAGGAAACGTCATATATCTGTATAGTCGGATGCTAAAAGTATCAAAACAGACTATCTCCTTTGCTAGTCTACAGTTCAGTTACGGTCAAATAATTACTCCCAGAAACCAATGGCATAACACATGGGATCATGCATAAAACTATAAAGAATATTTAGCTAATATCAAAGATCTTTAATGCAATGCCAAAAACGTGTTTCAACATGGCTAGCAGTCTGCTAAGAAGAACACAACAGCTTCAGCAGTGTTGAACTATTTTCTAACAAATCAAGAGAATAACAGAGCAAATGCCTACCAATTTCAAAAATTCTTCCCAAGGATATATTGCCAAACCATGCTTCTCAGCTTCTGCTTTCTGCTCAGGTGTTACTGTCCCAAAGCTAACAATTGCTGTGTGGCAAACGTACATGCAAATTGCAGATGAATTATTTCTTACACACCCCCTTAATTAAATAAATAAATGGATGACTTACTTCGCAAGTATTCCGATGCCTTTGGGAATGTTTTAAGCAGCTGAAAATGCAAAGAGAAACCTTACATGATAAAAGGACTATTTGTGCAATTACAAATTCTTGGATTAAAAGAGAGAAAAATATCTTCCCTGTTAGTTCTTATGCAATCCTAGGATTCCAATTGTAGATATTAATATGCTTACTTCATTGATCTTTTTTTCCTCCACAAATGCTATTGAAACTTCTGCATGGCATATAATAAACTCCACAGCACCAGAACCTATAACATAGAGGAAAAAGGTTCAAACATTCATAAACAAATGCATGTTATACTGAGATGTACACATTATTAACAGAGATTCAACGTTTTAATATAAAGGACTATCGCCATATTAAAAATTGGAGAAGCCTACGTGACGCATAAGATTGTTGTCCGCAGAAACTTGTGATTAAACAAAATTCAAATCATGTTGGTTCTCAATAACAAATACCTAAAGTGTCATACAAGGGAACACAATAGAGTCCATGAGCATTGCAGGCCTGTATCAATGTTGCTGTATTAGTAAACATTTTGGGCAACAAGAATTATAACAGCAAAGACTATGTTCAACATATATATATATATATATAATGACATCAGTGTAACCAGAGATGTTTGTTTACCATGCCAATCAGATAAAACAAGCAAGAATAATCATACCTCCATGCTTATTATCCACTCTGGGCAATTGGCACCATAAATACCACATTTTCCTCCCTATAAACAGTGAATAAGAAGCATAGAATTTGTAAAATACGCACAGCATGTGACCGTGGATGATTATCACGGAATTAATATTTTCATCGCAAAAAGTTACAGTAAAAAATGTTAGAGCGTTACTTTCTCAACACCACAGCTCCTGATGGAATTTCCGAGTTTCATTACAGTGTCATAAACTTCTTTGTAAGTTTGCCACTCGTATTCTCCAGCCTGCGGTTAAAGCACAGCAATTTAGACGCACAAACTAAAAGGCATAGGCATCAAACATAATGCAAAATCAAAAATAACAGAGAAGCAAAGAATAAAAGACACTGCAGTGGCAAAGCATACTTTCCCGTTCAAATTCTGACGGCGACCAACCATGGGATTATCAGGATATTTATCGACTGACATCCTGCGAGGAGGAGATGAAATGCAAATCATTATCACCAAATAAAACAACAATTCTTCACAACACAGTGAATTTGAATTATATTATAGTTAGATAACAAGGTCAATCCATCCATATTAGCAAAATTTTAATCTCCAAATTATATAAACACCAAAACATCGAAATAATTACTACTATTGAACATTTATTTATATTTTGTTTTTCAGTTTTACAGTGTTGAAAGAAATACAGAGCTTTCAACTATAATCATGGAGATATCGTTATCTCGGTATGTGTGAATGTCAAATTCAAGTGTTTCAAATACTAGACGTTTGATAATATATTTAGATGTTTTGATCTCTTCCATGGCCTCCTCGGATTCAAATTAAAAAAGATAGGCAAACATTTTAAAAAAATGAACCGAACTTCTAAAGAGAAGAAAATTTTCCAAAGCCATCAGATATCAAGCAGAGAAAAATAAAAGCCAAATATCTTTTCTTGTTTTCTTGGATACCAAGCAAGAGCTTAAATTATAAAAAAGGGAAAATATAAATCGTAACTGGAAAATGTCCCAACAACTCTCCATTCCAGGAATCGGAGCAGGGAAACCATTCTCCGCAAAACAACTGCGATAAATAGGACCGATTGAAGGTTTTCCATCGGCGGCGGCCTTCTCTTCCTCTACTTTTATAACATAACACTTGTCAGCCATTTGATCAAATTCTAATGTACCAGTGATTCATCCACTATGCACACTTTGGATGCTACAGTTTTCACTTTTCAGAGTGAAAAGATTTCTATGAATACTGTGTGGTTGGATGTAATTTAGTAATAATTTAATGAGATTATTTATCATTGAAAATAAATTATCTAAAAGCTATTTTTAATTTTGGTCAAATTATTTTAAAATACTCCTATAAAATTCTATTAGTAACTGAATAATTAGTTTTACTTTTATAGATGAGAGAAGTTTGAAGTTGTCGTGCTAACCGACTTATACAGAAACCGACCTCCTATGATTCAGGGAATCAACCGTCCGCTGTATCAGAATTCAGAGCCAACCGAACCTGATGATAAAAGATTGAAGGGTGAATTACATTCATGATCAATTAATTATGATGTGATTCTATATTTTTCATCGATCTTTAGATTTTGTCAATAAAACCACTTAATAGTTTAAATGTTGTGATGTTAACATTTAACTTATGGTCTCAACACCTTTTATCCTTTGGTGGTCGAGAAGTAATCATTAAGGCGGTTGGACAATCCACTCCGGCATACCTTATGGGGTGTTATTTGCTCCCTCAAAATTTCGATGATATTGTTTGTGCTATTCGTGACTATTGCTGGTCGGGGGTGCTTCAGAACGGGGTTGGCCTCTCATGGCATGGTTGACACTTCGTTTCCCGATTAGAGTGGGGGGACGAGGGTTCCGTGATCTTCATGGTTTCAACTTTGCTTTACTTGGGAGGTGCTTTGGCGCTTTATTCATCATCCAGAGAGCATGGTTTCCCGAGTCTTTGCTGCTAAGTATTTTCCTCATGGTAACCCTTTATTGGCGGAGGTAGGAAATCGACACCCGCATGCATGGCGAAGTCTTCATCATGTTGCAATTACGTTACGCTCGGGCTTCCATATTCGTGTGGATATTAATAGTTTAACATCTATGCTCTCCTCACGCTGGCGTGGAACTACTCCTATTTCCCTGGAAACCGTCTACCTAGATAATAGTTCTAACCCCATCCGTTGTGGGGATTTCATGAGCTTGGGATGATCGTCGAGTCTGTGGAGCGTTTTCACCTATTGATGTAGCATCTATTCTTCAATGTCCGATCTCTCCCACGTGTGAGGATACTCGGAATTGGGGAGCACATTCTATCGGCGTATATTCAGTGAGGTCCGGATACCATTGGCTCATGCGGCAGGGTGTTCAAATTACTCCACCATCGTCTTTATGGTTGGGTCTCAGTCGTCTCCACATATTGCCAAAGGTACGTGTCTTCGGATGGCTTTTAGCACATGAGGCTCTACCTGTTGGTTGGCTCTTGCTGCTTCTGATGAAACCTTGACGCACGCTGTTCGAGATTGTGATGAGGCAAGACACATATTGTCCATGGCTGGTTTCAATATGGCGGCACTTTATGACCCGCATTCTTCATGTGGATATTGGCTCACTCATGTGTTTACTCTTTTGGATCAATCCCGCTTATGTGTGTAGCTGATTCTGCTGTATAATCTCCGGAACCGTGGAAATGTATATCTCCATGAGGGGCGTAGAATTCCGAGATGGCATATTATCTCATCTAGCACGGCCATGCAGTCCTCTTACACTGCATTGCAAATTTCTTCCTTCTCACTTGCTAATTCACCTGCTGCTATTTTGAAGAAACCAAAGATTAGGATGTTAAAAATTAATGTTGATGGCGCATTTCGATCTTCCACTTCAGTTTCCGCGACTGGGATTATTACTCGAGATCACACAGGGATGATCATTGTTGGTGAGGCATGACCTCTCTTAGACTTTCAAGATTCATTTCTGGTGTATGCACGCCAGCCCGTTCATTAGCAAGTGTAACTTGTGATATGTCACAATGCCTAAAAATTTAGAGCCCTACATTTTGAAAAATATTTGCTAATATAGAAAAATTATTTTTCGTACTACACGCATGAAGAAAACTTAATTTCATATGTTTGGAATTTTTTATTTTGTAGAAAACAATCGTAATATAATAAATTTTGATATTTTACAATTTTATTTTATTATAAAATATTTTAGAGGCCCTATTCTAAAAAGTAGCACAGATCTTCCACATTTTTTAAGACGAACATGAGGTACACGCGATTACTCGTGAACTGCAGCCAGCTATTGAATTGCAATATGAGTCAACAGTGGTCGAATCTGATGCTACAAATTTGGTTCTCCAGCTGCAATCTCGCTCCGAGGATCTGTCTGTGGTGGCTTTCCATCCAGTTGAAGCAAGGAACCTCCTGCACGCTAACCCCCATATTCATATCCGATCAATACGACGAAGTGCCAATTCCACAGCTCTCGCGTTTTCTTATGCTGCTATTCTTACTGCACCTTTTCATTTCTCGCATATATATCCTGAATGTATTGCTACTGCTGTTATAACACGTGCTTGTTATGGTTAATGAAATTCACGTCCTTTCTTCAAAAAAGAAGAAGAAAAAAACACATATGAATTGATATGACAGTTAAAAACTAGTATAATTACATATTTGATCATCATTACTTACACAATCAATTAATTTAATCTTAATTTTAATTTAATTCAATAAATATAATTCTCCAATAAAATAATAATTTTATTGAAGTAAATGGAGTTGAAGAGAACCAAACCTGAGATTTTAATGGGTGGATTGGGCATGCCATAAGCACTAGGCCGAATATCATAATTGATAACCAATTACAAAATTCTACGTATATCATAATTGAGATTTTTTTGTAAGCAAATGTAGTCTTTAGGCAATATTTAAATAGCTAAGTAGGCTGATTGAAAAAAACTAAAAGATCGATGCTCATAATAAAATCTCAATAGTTAAGGTGTTCATCATGGGTGTATAAAATCTCAATAGTTAAGGTGTTCATCATGGGTGTAATTTACCCAAGATTGAAATATTTGTAACTTCTTAATATTTAAAATAATTATTTTAAAATCTGAATTCATATGTAAATATTTAAATCAAATATTTTTTTAAAAATAAGTAGCTTATACATGTGAATTCAATATTAGTAAATGTAAAACAATTTCATTCAAAATAGGTAATATCTACATTACCTATAGAAACCTGAATATAATAACCAACATGGGTTTTACACATTCTTATTTTGAAGGCAGCCAAAAAATTCCCCAGATTCCGGGGGAAAAGAAAATTCTCAAACCCCTCAATTGCATAAAAGCAGTCATTTGTATTTCTATGGCGTCAAAATGTAAGGACTACAAAAAATAATACAAGAAGCAAGTTTTTAATATAAATATGTCATTCTTAGTCCTCAAGTATAACACCACCAAGTGCAAAGTATAGGCGGGTCAGTTCCTGGAAGGATACCTTCACTCACCTCTTCTTGTTTTTCTTCCTTCCTTTTACTTGTTTCTCTAAATTTCTAAGCCTCTGATTGATGATTGAAGACGAAGAAGAAGAAGTTGTTCTTTGGTTTGACGCTTTTGTTGGTTCAACGGGCAATGGGGTAGACTGTTGTGATGCTGTTTTGGCTTGTTGGGTGTTTGTTTCAGAGCCGTATAGAGATCGATATTAGCCCGCGGTGTAGTAACAGCTGGTTGAGGCGGTATTTCAGGAACACCTATAGCCTTCTTCACTCCAGGAGCCTTCAACACTGCAAATTTAAAATTTTCAAAGAAATGTCAGAAAAAGCAAACCGCTTCACATGGTATTCACAATCAAATGTTTAATTGATTTATCATATGAAATTCACGGACTCACCTAGACCGTATGAAAGGGAAAACAAATTTGATGTGATCCAATAACAAACTATGGCCTGCCGAATAAAATGAGATGAAAATTATAACAAGTAAATATTTGGCATTATTTTCCAAACCAGCTTGTCAGAGTAGGCAATGCAAATGTACTATATGAGCTTGTTAACGAGAACTATAACATAAACACACAATGACCCATTCGAGTTAGAAAAATCTTATATGATATTGACAGCTGATGGCACAAACAACAACGTGCACAAGCCGGGAAAGGAAGTGGTGATACCTTTGGGAAACTCATGGTAAACGGAACTGTAAGAGCAGCGAGGACCCGAGAAACATTTTTCATAGTTTTAGCAGAAGGATTCCCTTCCATGCCTTCTTGCATGTTGCACTGAGGACATAGAGCAGTTAATTAAAACCGATCCAAAAGGAAGGCATGTAGAATGTTGCTCGATGCTACAAGTTATTATTAACGAAACAGGAAGCTTACCTCCACCGTTATCAAAAAAGTCAGTGTTGTCAAAGCTGGAAAGACGTATAAACTATCCAGAGTGCTGAGATCTGTAAACCAGTATGCTCCACCATATTTAAATGATGGCATTTTCTCAGCCATCGTTGAAATCTGGAGTATAAAGACATGTCATCGGATATAATTCTAAATGTACCACATTCAATCTAAAGACCAAACCACAGTGAGTTGCTACAAAAAAAAATTCTTACAGCCAGGAAAAAGCTGACAAAGATGGGGCCCTGAATAAAAGCCCTTTCAGCGGTGTAAATGGAGTCACAACATATCTGCAATTATTCAACACAAACAATGAAATTGTCAGGTAAAATCAGTTTAAAAGTCCATTAGATCAACGACTATGTCGAGCACATTTCTGATCAGTCCAAAACTAGAGAATACCACCAAATGAACTATCATCTAAAACAACTCATGTTTAATATATTTGTGCTTCTAACTTCATATGTACAGAATAAATCCATTTAGCATCCTCCGAGATAGATTTTATGGTAAATGCAACATCAAGAACCTATCATGACTTCAGACTAAGACGGGGACCTGGGATTTGTTTATTACGGAGAGGGAACGAGCATTATAGTGAAATTAAAAACACATTTCAATCAATGTGAAGCTGCAAGCATATTTCCCTTCAGCAGAATATCGAAGTGGAATCACAAACCAGGGTCCTTCGAAAAGTTAAGAGATAATAGCATGAAAAGCCAAATTAACAGCTTTTGTGATTCATTCATGGAACCAAAGGCTATGGAATCTATTACAACAAGTATGGCCCCATCCTAATTGAAAAGTGGCTTACTCTTTGAAAAGTTTTTTCATTTCATTTTGACCATCAGCCATAGAAAGGGAATCACTACCCTGCAGAAAAAAAACAAGTAGAAATTTTTAAAACTTCATACTACCATAAAATAAAATAAAATTTTCCATGGAATCTGAACATTCTCCGATCAAAGGCGGTCAGTCATTTTTGTTTAATAAAATAATATAGTATACTATTGTTAAGATTTTGGGTCTATATTATGTTAGTCTATAGACAAACAGGAAAAATAAGAAAAATGAAGGGATTTAAAATAGACGGTATTTATTTCATGGGGCATTTTCATTATATTTAGAGGAATTTATGAAATTAAGCTATACGGTTTGCTTCAATCCGATCTGTTTAGCATGGCAAGGCTATAATAGCAGAGGGGAAGTGAATTCATAGTGTGCTTGGGAAGCATGAGATGATTTAGTTATAGTCAACTAAAACATCAAATTGGAAAGCAAAGTCGAAGTAAAGACAAATTGTTAGGTTGTTCTGGAAGAAATGAGAGAGGTTATTGTTCCCATGTGTTTCCACAGTAAAACTTTCAAATCATTTGAAACCACTCACTTCCTACTACCAAACCTTCCGGGACTATTTACTAATATAATCCTCCCTGATTTCACGATCCAACATTAGAGAATCTGATGCTATCATACATTTTAAATATAATAAATACTACTACTATTATTATTATAAAAAATTTGAAATCATTATTTTTAAATTATTATAATATTTATCTAATGCTATTATTTATTTTTATAATTTTATAAACAAAATAATAAGATTAATATATTTTATTAAAATAATAAATATTATAATTATTTATTTAAATAATAATAGTGTACTATATTATTAAATATTTTTAATAAATATATTTTAAATACTTTAATAATTAATATTTAACTAATAGATTCTCTTAAAAAGTATAGTAATTTATAAACTAATATTGTTTTATCTATAAAAAATTATATAATAAATCATGAGTATTT